GAGATGGCTCAGTGGTCTAAAGCACCTACTTAGAACAAGCTTAGCAAAGCACAGGGACCACGGTTCAATCCCCCAGCACCACATGCCAGCCAGCTGCGCCCCCTGGTGGGCTGAGCTGGACACACACACACACACACACACACACAAATAAAATGAAAAAAAAAGAGTTAACACTTTTTCCAGAAGTAGAAATAATAGTGACTTCCCTGAGTATAAAGAACTAATCCTACAATAAAAGACAATTACAAAATTAAGCAATTAGAGGTACATAGTTTTCTGCATTCATTATTACAAATTTATTCTTAAAAAGCTCATGTATTTTGGAAGTTTAATATTTCAAAATGTTTCTTTTGCACCTGTGAGGTTAAGGTTTCAGTCCGACCTGTCTTTATCGAATTCCAGGGCAATCTTTAAAGCGGTGCCATTGAGGCCCACAGACTGCATGTTACAGATGATAGAAACAATTATTCCTCTTGGGGGAAGCTTGTTCTTTATGGTCTCTGCGTCCAGTTCTTCAGGCAGGACCAGCAGGACACTACTGGCGCCCACCGCACCTCCAGTGTGGGACGCATAGTGCCGCTGCTTCCTACAAGAACCATGTGTCTGCTTCTTCTCCACCACACCCCAGGCCATTGCGTATTTGCCATCTTTATCCCAAGACATCTCTGTGTTGGGGACGGGTGTCCACACCATCGCCATTGTCTCCGGTTTGAGGTATCCAGGTAACAGATTCTCATGTGAGCCCTTAAACAGCCCGACCTGGTAACTGTATAGCACTGAGTTCCCAAATTTCAGAAGGTCACCCACGGTAGACAGAAATCCACCACCAGCCCATTTGTAGGAGTTATCCACATAAGGCGTGTTGGCAAGGCGTTTCTTTTTATTATAAACATAAAATCTAAAATGAAATAAGAATGGTCATTAAAAGGTTAATAATCTATTACTGATTTTACATATGATAATGAATAGGAAAATATACACAAAACAGATGGTATTTCAATTCAGAGATCATATATTAACTGTATATTTTA